GGCACATCGGACTGCCAGATGCCGCAAATGGCCAGTGGGTGGTTTACATAGAAGCTATGGGGCTTTACCCCCCACAGTTAGAGCTGCACCATTGCCGCCAGCTTGGCATATTGATTTTAGTTTTTTGTTGAACTACATATTTGAGTCCCCCTGGCGTGTTTACCTTAACTATTTGCGTTGACCTGTTGTGCTTGGACGCTCGTTATGAATACATTGTTTGCATATTGGAGACGGTGTATGGAGCAAGGACCAACTCAGTTTCTCACTTCAATTAAAAGTGGAAAGCTATTTCCGGCACACTCCAGAGCTTTGCTTTTCACAGGAAGGTATATTAGGTCAGGAAGTTGGACAATTAAAGGAAATACTAGAGAACTTATAAGTTGAATTGAATTTCCAAGGATTTTCTGTCAAGCTTGTATCTTATAGAGGACCGATTTCTCAATGTCAAGTTAACTTTTGTAAGTTAGGTTACTTAATATTATGTTGCAAGCCCAACAAGTCGATACTAAAATATTCTTCACATGGAAATGCATTTGTCTTACTTCATGTTAACCCAACACGGCGTTCAGAAACCGAAATATTTATTATGAATCTATTTTTGACTATTTATTTTCAGAGGAAAGTGGTTTACACCCCTTCAATACAAAATGCCGCATGCAAAGTGGCAGAATAAAAGGCACCCAACATTAATTGTCAACTGCCTTAATTGCCCGTTTTCGTTGCACCAAAATCCGCAGCAGTGGCAGCGGCGTAATAAAAAGTACAGTATCTGAGGCACACGAGCGAGCCCATGCCCAAGTAGGAATCGCGCTGCAGATTGCTGGGTCAGGTTAGGTCAGGTCAGGCCAGGGATCTGGGAGTGGATCTGGGAGTGGGATAGCCGGGTTAAGGCCGTCCGCTTGGCCAGAGGACCGGGCCTCGAGGCTCTGGCTCTGTTCTATTCTGCTGGTGCTGCAGCGGAGCTGACACGGTGACCTAAAGGCGACAACAGCCGCATGCAGAATGGAGCTCGGAGCACGGCAGAAGAACACTGATAGAAAAAAAGATCTGTTTAAATTCGGTATTCTAAGACAACTTGATAATTCGTAATATTACCTAAAAACAAGGTAACTATAAAAATGCACTAAAGAATTGAAATCACTTATAAAAGTGCTAAAGAGTATGCAACAATATTTTTTAAGGACCCATTTCACAAGACACCGTTCTTATTTTCACCGCATACTTTTAGGCACCTTTACTATTTTCATACAATTGTATATGTATCAATTCCTTTATAATAAAAAAATCTATAATTATAAGTTTATTTTTCTCCGTGTATTTACAGCAGCGGCACAATGGAAGCAGCCCACAAACAACACACTGAAATTGTTTGCTTTGTGCCTTTGGCTGGCTGGTTGGTTAGGGAAAAGCCAGCAGTGCTAATAAACAATGGGCCACGGCACGGGAAAATGGAAAACTGGGTCCAAAAGGGGGACCAGGAGCTGGGGGAAGACGCATCTGAGACTTCCTGGGCGCTGCGAGCTGTCGCTACTAGATGTTTTTAGCTGTTTTACGCTTTTAGGGCAATTTGGGGACAACGTGGCGTATGCGTGTCGTGTCTACTGTCTACGCTGCCTTTGCAGGTGTCAAGTGCCAAGTGTGTAGTTTACCGCAAAGTGCTGCCCCGTATAGTATGTAGTATATTCTATATGGTATGTATGCATGTTTTAGTTTTCATAACCCGGAGCGCTAAAAAATAACACAACAAAGGACCTTTCCCATTCGAAAGGCACTGCGGCAGCTATAATGGCCACCGCATAACAGGCATACAGCCATACAGCCGCACAGCCACAGAGCCGAGAAAGGACCTTAAATTGTTCAATTCAAAGGCTTCTGCGGAGCATTTACGAGCGACAACAGGAGCACACAACGAGTCCTGGGCCAGGACCAAAGGGAAACTCGTTAAATGCCATGGCTGCCTGCCTGCCTGCATATATTGTTTGTGGCAGCATGTAAAGATGGGCCTCCTTTCCACGGCGGCGACTTCAAAGGGGAGTGAAAGTTTTCTTTGTCATCTATTAAGACATTTCCTGCGAATGATTTATCCAGGCCGCACAACCCTACTTTCCCCAAAAGCGAGTTGCTAAAGTGGAAGTTTCAGATGTATCCACTTCAAGGGCGACTGTAATCCTGGCAGACTTTGTGTAGCCGAGCCAACAAATTAATTAGTTTTCAACACTCGAGTTACTTTAAATGGCAATTCGTATAATTAATTTCGCACACATTGGCACGAGAAGTGCAAAGCAAATCGAAGTCATCAGCAGAGTGGTCGGAAGTATTTGGCATACGTAAAAGGACCTGCTGGGCCAGGTCAGGGGTCACACATTCAGATCCAGATCCATTGAGAGCCAAAGGAAGCAATTTTCCTGCCGAATGCGTTTGCACAAAGCGAAGATATTGCAGAGTACACAGAAGATACGAATGGGAGCAGTGGTTACCAGAGCACCAAGGACTCCAAGGACTTCGAAGGACTCCCAGTGCAATCACTCAAACGGCTAAGAAATCAACTGCCAAAGTCATAAATTTTTGGTTTGCAAACTGCAAATTATTCCAGCATCATCCATTCCTCTCTTTTGCTGGGAAAAGTTAAATAATGCAAGGGCTGCACAACATGTGAGCTTGGATTTGAGTTGGTGTGTGTGGGAGACTGCTACTTTCTAGCTACGGCCAGTGAAAAATTGTGCAGAAATATTTAAACTGCAATTCCAAAGCGATTTGTTTTATGGCCCCCAAAGCTCGAGCTTTGTTTCGCCGCCGGCTCCGGATGCGGATGCGGATACGGACCGACTTCCGGTTTCCACTCCGCTGCCCGCGGCGGCGCGGAGAACTTAACTCGGATTTGATGTGGCCAAGCAGCTGTTAATGCTGCATGATTTATGCTGCATGCAGCTCATTATATGCCACTAAATCAGGGCAGCAAAAGCTCAATGTCGCTGGGAATTTTTGGCAGTTCGTAGGGAAAGACAGAGAGATGGAGGGAGAGTCCTGCGAGTAGGATGTGTGGTCAATGCACTGCCGCTTCCGCTTCCGGTTCTACCACTTCCGCCCAGCGGTCGTAAATTTCGTGCAGCCGCTTTGCATGTCCTCCAGTTTTCCAGTTTTCCCACTCCCGTTTATTATTTTATCGGAGCGGCGTCTGCACTCCGCTGGAGCTGCCAATTGTCATCGCCAGCCAGCCATCCAGCCTTCCAAGTCCGCGCTCGCATCCTGATCCTGGCCATCCTGACGGACCATTGTCCTCCGCCTTTGTATCCTTTCCCGAATGATTTGTTTGCCAGCCTGCAGTTGGCTTGTTTGTCTTGGCCACCGCGATAAATCAACACTCCAGCACCCTCCCATCCTTTGGTGACCCCGAACCGAGTCGACTGAGCTTTCGGATTACTATGCATTAGTACGAAATTAGAACTATTATATTTATGGCGCAAATAGTCCGCACATCATTTCTGCAGCGCCCAGGTAAAAGGTAGAAAGGCAAAAGCCAAAAGGGGTAGAGCAAAAAGTAAAGAGGCAAAAAGCCTAAGCTCCCGCACTGGGAGAAAGGGAGTTATCCGAAAACGTTATTAAAAACCATTACCTACTTTTGTACAGCCGCTAAAAAGATTCTTTCGCCTCCGACTCTCTGCCGCCATACGAACAGTATACAGTTCGGTGCCAAAAAAGTTGTCCAAGGAGTTGCTTTCCCAAGGCCGTGAAAAATGTTTCTTTTCTCTTCCGACTCTCTGCCGATATACAATATACACCTCAGTGTAAACAAAGCTGTCTAATATTTTCTCAGTGTATCCACAGAGCCATTAGACACGCCTAGCAGTCACTGTCTGGCGTTGGGCTGTAATAAAAACATAAAATGTTGCACATTATGCAAACAAACCCACATGCACAGTGGCTCCCACTCACACCCGCACACACACACACACAGTTAAGCTTTGGCGATGGCGCCGCATGTCTAACGGTTTCGTTCGCCATTTGCAAACACACACGCACACAGGCACACACACTTACGCCCACAAGGACGAGGCCGAGGACGCACAGACACGGATGAATACCTTGTGCTAAGCAAACTTTGGCCCTGCCAGTGTGTGTGTGCGGAGAACATTAAATTTATTTGAAATTATTATTATGCGCATTTACCTAACATTTGCATAACCGTCAACGGTTTGCAGGTTCGCAGGAGGAGCCCTTCTCGGCGGGCCAATTTGCGAGAGAAATGTGGGGAACTGGGCCAAAGCAAAGGCAAAAGCCAAACAGCTTATAATGTGATTGAAAAGTCCGCGCGGAGTGATCCAGAGTGAATCTTCGCTGGGGCCGCGCTTTGCCAGGACTTAAAGCCCGTTTTTCGCACCGCAGGACCTGCGATATTTAACCGAAATATTTTGTCAACTGTTATGGCAAACAATATTATGCATTCGCTTAATGCGCTAGTTTATGGCTCCAACTACTGACCGGCATAAATAAGCAGCGGTGAAAAAATGAAAAACGGTAGCCAGCACAAAAAAAATATACATACCATATATATGAAAATAAAAACATGGCGCATAAATTAAAAGCAACGTGCACTAGATTCGCCCACATCGCACACACAAAGCTGCACACATCGGAAAATTGTTTTAAATAATTAAATGCTGGCGCTGCACTTATTTACACCATTTACCAAACTGTGTGCACTAGGTGTGCATGGAAAACAAGCTAGATGTCGGTGTGTTTCCAACTTTTGGGATACCCTTTTAGAATGTTGCGTACTAAATTACAACTTTGTATGCTCAAGTGGTCCTTTTTTGATTAAATTATGATGTCACGGTATTATGGTAAGGTGTCTAAAGGTATGCAATGGAAAATAACGTGGGTCCGACCACCTACCGTTGGTCAACAAATATTGTTGGATATTTTTAGTCTCATTATTAATTGAATTCAAATCTGCACTGTTTTATTAAGGTGGACTAGATATTTTTAGGTGCCGTAATATTTCATTTTATTTCTATTATTGTAATTATAATTTCAAAGGCTCACTAGATATTTTTCTGGATTCAGGGTAAGCCCAAGTTGCTGAGGCCGAGGACCTTATCTGAATCCTTTGCACATGTTTGCGACTGAATGCTAGCATAGAGATGTTTTTATGTATGCCTTCATACAATAAAATCATATAGATACTGCACACAGGCAATGTGGCTGGCTTTTGATTTATTTTACTGGTCGTTCATTTTATTGTGATCGGATGATATTTTGTATGGCGTATTCCTGCTCTCTAGACCCCATCCACTGCCAGGGAGCTGGAGAACACGAAGGCCTGCTGGCTGGTGACCGATTTCTGGCTGCCCTCGAAGTCCACATAGATGTCGACCTCCAGGTCGAAGATGCTATCCTCGCTGGCTTTCATGGCGAACACGCCCTTGATTAGCTCCCCAGCCTTCACGGGGAGCGGGGTCTCCAGATAGAAGACCGTCTGGTTCCAGTGGGTCCACGGGGCACAGGGCGACGTGCTGAAGGCGATCCCTTGCGGAGTTTTGCTGAATCCCACATCGAAGTAGGCCACCAGGGCGTGCACCCAGCCGTCCCGGGTGACCTTCAGCTCGTAGAAGGATCGAAAGTCGGCGGACTGGCGCTGCTCCTTGTAGAGGTCCAGCGACTTGACCAGGCACACCTGGCTCATCATTTGGCCGCCGGTCACGGGCTCCACCACCGCCAGGGACTCGCACCTGCGCCGGATGGCCGACATGTCGAAGCCGTGCACGTCGTGCCAGAAGCCGAGATCCTGGTCCTGCCCCTGGATAGCCGCCACATAGAGCTGCGCCGTGTCCGGATAGATGTGCCCTCCGGCGGACAGCCACTTGTCCCGCGCAAAAATCAGAGAGTCCAGCATATTCTCGGAAAACAGGCAGGAGCTGTGGCGAAATGGTTTCGGGTCAAAGGTTATCGGTGGTGGAAATAACTCTGCGAAAATTACTTAGGGAGTCAAGGCAATCCAAGCATTAGCTAGGTACGCAAAAAAATTACACCGGTATTAAAAGATATAATATGAAAATGGTTTTTTTTAATCCAAATTTCTCAGATTCAGCGCGAACATTATTTTGGGGTATATCAATAAATTCTGCTTTTACTACGACCATATTCTTCTTTCTAGGATTAGGGTAATTTAAAAAAGAAAACATTTAAGAGAAATTACAATTTCAATATCGCATTTACATTATTTAATGGTGAAGTAAAATCTCTTGTGTATTTTATTTAATCTTGAAATTGTTGGTATCGGAGTAAATAAAAATATAAGTATGATATATATTGATATGATGGTTATTATGATTTGATTTTCGTAACACAAGTGATAAATATTCAACTCACCCCATCCAATCGCATACAATAATGTCCACCTTATCGATGTCAGCGGGCAGTTCAATGTCCTCCACTTTTCCCCTTATCACAGTTATAACATTGCCGAAACCATTATCGTGGACTATACGATGGGCATAGTCCGTGATGCTGGCCGCATCCACAGCCAGGACCTTTTTGGCCCCCGCCTTGGCGGCAAAAATTGAAAGGATACCCATGCCGCAACCCACGTCCAAGACAGTCTTTGGATTTGGAAGATATCTATTAGTTCTTTATAACGATGACCACTCTACCCACCTTGTTCTTAAAGGACTCGTTGTAAAGGATAGCGTCGCGAAATGCCTTAACTCGCACAGAATCCTTTAGCAGCCACTCGTGCACCTCGATGCGGCTGTAAATGTTGAAATACATTGTCTCCTGCTGGCGGCGCTCCTCGATTCTCTTGAGGGCCAACTCAAGATGGCGATCTGCATCGGACTTCAAATCCTCCTGCTCCAAGTTGTTAAACATGTTTTTGTAGACGATATTCTTTGCAAATGTTCAAAATTTCAATACGGAAATCCCACAGGTATATGGATGTCTAAGATCTGACTTGATTATGAGAGAAAAGGCAAAATGGCTTATTTGGCCTGGCTAGTTTTTCATAATTAATTCCTTAAATTACCGCCCGCCGCACCCCGCACGTGCATTAACTAATTAAAAAGCTCATTAGCGTACATAAATCAGCGTTATGCAGACATAAATTTCATTATTACATCCCAGCCAGCTCCGCTGACCTACTACCACCGCTCCACGGATGCGGGACAAAGGACCACGATGACGAGCTGGGACAGCAAACAAGTTTGGTGGAGAAGCCACCGGACGAGGGATATCATTCACTCCGCCGAAGACGCCGTCATTCCATCCAACCCATCCCATCTCCGAATCCCCAGAAAACAATGTCTTCGTCTAGTCGGGCTCGCAATTATGGCCACACTGCTTCCGGACATTCCCAATTCGATTGTGGAAACGGGAATGGCAGCGAGAAAGTGAAAAGTGAAAGATGCCCTTCCATTCCCCCTGTATTTTTGTGTCTTATTTTTTTCGCCTTCAGCAGCAACAATCGCTGGATTCTTGACTTAAGCAGGGCACAGCAGAGCGTGAAAACATCATAAAGATGAGAAATTATTATCTGGTTCATATCCAGGGGACTGGGGACTGTGGACAGGGGACTGCGGACAGGGGAGCGGCATTTAGCTGCTCTGTTAGCGGCCCTGAATGAAATATCACATCCTGCAGAGGAATAAAAATCAGCGTCGGTAAAAAATACACACATAAGAGAAGTAGAAGTAAGCAGGAAGCATCCCGAGCTCGAACAGGAAGCCGAAGATACTATACACACCCACTCCCCCCGACGAACGATAAACGCTCGCAGCGTCAAAAGACAATGATGAGGCAGGATGGTCCGGGGAAGGGTGCACAGTCAGAAAAATGTATATAATATGATATGATACGATGTATAGGAAGGGAACCCAGTGGAAATTTGGAGTGCTGGGAAAGAAAATTGTATTTCAAGTGATATGTAGAAGGGAATATTCTATAGAGTTCAGTTCGGAAAATAGATAAGTTTCCACACCCAAATAAGTTTTTAAATATTTTTTACGTATTATATGTTTACCCTAAGAAATGTTTTCGCCTCAAGTGATCCCAATTAGTTGCTAAAACCACTTGTTTTTTGGTTGCCCATGGCTTACATATGTTTTTGACATTGTACACCTATTAAAAATATATCTTGTTTTTTTACCTGTGAGATTTATCCCTACCTGTGGTATATTTTTTTCCGTGCAAGGACCTAAATCGGGTGAGGAATATGGAAGCTGGCAAGCAGAGAAATAAAAGCCAGCCTCTGGTCGGCATCAAAAGTGACGAAAAATTGTAAAAATAAAATATAATGGCAACGCAGGACTTTCTCGTCCTGGACTCGGGCGATAATTTTTTATTTGTATGCCGCCGAGAGCCAAAAGGGTGATGGGGTGGCGGGTGGTGGGTGGCAGTGAGTGGGCGGATCAAGCACACACACACACACACACACAGGAGACAAATACAAACACAAACACTTTGCGGGCATCGCCGTCAAGCTGCGCGTTATCCTTTGTGTAATTTCTGGTTTAATGAGGCGGCATTGGGACGGACCCACACCCACCACCCCTTCCGCCCCCGGCAAGCCCATAGGTAAGCATTTTTACACTCATACATTTTTACGACTCGAGCATTAAGTTAAAATTTGTGTTAAATATTTTATTGTTTTTATGGCCACATGAACACCTTGCAGCGACACGAGCCGGGCAAATTATGAGATTCAAGGGGAGCCCAGCCACTGGGGAGCTGCTACTGGGATCAGGGGCAATATTTCAAGGCCCTCTATGTCCTTGCTTGTGCAGGGGGTGGAGCGAACCACAAGAAAATGGGGATGCCAAGGCATTACATTAAAAATATCATACGATTTTATTAAAAGGTAAGATAGTACGCTGTAAATATGGAATACTACTTATTTTACATCTCATAATAATTGTTGTCAACATTCTTTTTAAGATTTTATGTAAATCGGAATAAAGAACCAGAAGAAAATGGGGATTCCATATGATAACACTTGCTACTTCATATATTGTTACTTCATATATTGTTCAATTCAAGATATTATATAACATAATTCTCCATTTTTTAACATTTAGGATATCATCCAATTTTAAGAAAACGTGAGATAGTTCAAGGTGAATTTGGAATAAAGTATCATAAGAAGATACCTCTTATGATAATTATTGGGTACGGCTTAATAACCATTTAATTTATCCAGTCCTTTTTGAATGCTAGAACCACACCTTTCTTGGCCACTCCCAGCACATTCACCGTAACTCTCTGGAGGACCAGAACCGGACTCCCACTACGTGCGGTCATTAATAGTTGCCAACTGCCCCTGAGTTGTCCCACTCAAACACGATAATCTCGACACTTCCTGGCTGAGCTCAAACAAATCGGAATTCGGGGTGATTATGAAATTGGCAATTAGTCGACTGAGTTGTGACAGCTGCTCGATTCCAGGTAGAATCGACTGCGGGGCAACATATGGCAGTCTAAGGCTGAGGCCCTCAGCCATTCAGGGAATCGCACTTGACAGCCGTGAAGCGTCGACTTGCAGACGAATAAAACACTCTGGGAGGCATTGACCTGTCTGAAGCCAGAAATTAGTGACTTGGACTGCATTTAAGAGGGCGGGCGACCGGCGCTATTATCCCACACATATCCAGCTATTAACGGGCAGAGTGAATTATGATTACGGGATGGCATGCAGGGGCTTATGTTATGGCATGTAGCCCCCGAGCACTTGCGGATTTATTGCAGCTAAAAATCAACGCTAATATAATGCATAAATCAGGGGTGCCTAAGTCAACATACTATATATAAGGTAAATGTGCCAGTGCACCGGGAGGAGGTCCTTCGAAGGATTCTCGCCTGTGAACCAAGTGAAATTCAGCGAAAACGAAACATTTTGGCAAAGTCGTTGGGCGGGTGGTAAGGTGGGTGGTTTTGGACTGGGTGGTAATACAGCATATTGAGGGCGTCTCTCTCTAGGACTCTCTTATTTGCAGATTTTGGCGCAGGCGCTTTACTACCACCTTCCAGTAGCGAAGTTCGCCTCTCCGTCTGCAAGGGAAATTTTTTGGGGAAACTGGGTTTTCTCGGCCACAAACAGCAGATGTTGGCTAATTAAAGCATCACAACGTAGGTCAGGCTCGCCTTCGAGCCGTGGGAACTTTATGACTGGCCAAAGTGACGATGCAAATGGACCAACATGATGCACAGATCCGAGTGCAGGTAGCGACCATAGATCACCAGAGATGATGTACCGCATTCTTGGGCATAATTAAAAAGCATTTAAGCGGGGGGTTCGCTCAAATTATCCAATTATCTGTCCCATGGCAGAAGTTACGGTTCTATGGCCACTCAAACAGAAATGTTTTGGGTGTTTGGCACTTAACACATTTCCACATGGCTTCACTTTTTCGGCCTTTGAGCGGGCTGCGCAGGCGCTTTCCTCGTTTTCTGAGCGCCAAACGGGTTGGGAGTTTTGCGGAGAAACTGGTTTTTGGGTCACAGTCACATCGAAGGGCCCGCCGACAGCCGAGAACAGGTAAACTCGAGATAATTATTCAATGAAGTCGAGAAGAACAGGGCTTCCCACACGGAGAAAAATAGAGTTGGTCATGAGTTGATCTAGGTAGTTTGACTATAACAAATTAAATACTTTCATTAAGCCGTATACAAAGTGTAAGCCTAGTTATAAGTGACTCCCAATCCTAACCCTAAGTTTCCTTGACTATATGTTTTTTGAGATTTTCTCATGGTTCTTAAAAATGGTTGGTTCTGGCTTATCCTTGTATGTAAATATATAAAAAAAAAGAATTTTATAGATTCGAATATTGCTGATGTTGACTTTATGATGGTTGTAAGTAAAGGTGTTCTTATGGCTCTTTCCTAGAAATAGTTCCAGGACTGGGTAATCCCAACTACTGTTTGGTCAATTTCTTCCTGTGCACTCCCCTGAGTTCTCGGGTTCTCTGTGGTCGGCGGAAAGCCATGTCAAAGGGTTAGGACAGGTTCGCTGGCACTACACTGTGCTACTCCCTCGGCCCGAACCCGAGCCCGAACCCTAGCCGAAGACGAGGTAGGCCCGAGACCGATTTGGCCAGCATCAGAGAATATAAGAGAATATGCTGCGCACATGCTCTCTCTTTCTCCCCAGAGCAGCCCTCTCTTTCTCCGCCGTGGCTGCAAAGCAACTGCCGTCTCTTTTCGAGTGGCAAATAGAGCACTCCTGACGCAGATTCAGTACTCAATTGTTGTTCCACCACGGCGTACGTGAACGCGGATGAAAACCGATTTCCAATCCAATCCAAAGCAATTCAAAATCCCATTTCTATCGCAGCGTTTTGTGGCCGTAAGTGCTGTCTCGCTCTAGCCTCTTTCCCCGAGAGTGTGTGTGTGGCTAGGAAAATTGTACAAATTATGGATACGAAAATTGATGGAAAATCATGAGTGAAAAAAGAAAAACAAAGCGAAAGGCGGGCGGCAATCAAGCGGAACGTCAGAAATCTAAATCACCACCCGGAAAAAGGGGTGGGAAAACGCTCTCCCTTTTGTGCGTGTATGCGTGTGTGTGAGTGTGTAAAAGTGGAAATTCGCTCGCGTTTTCGGCACTTTTCAGAATCGGAAAAACAGGACCACACCCGCGCGGGTGCAAAACTTGAAAATGGGAAAAAAACAGAAAAGGCAAAGAAAAACAGCGCTGCAAGAAAAATTCCAGTTTCCCAAAGGATCGCAAAGAGAGAGGCAGAGAGTTATAAGAGTGGTTCTATAAACTTGTACTGCCTGGAAGTTCTCAAGGAGGGGGTTTTTTGGGCCAGGACAGTTGCGCAAGTGAGCAGTTCCCGTTATTGGGGAATTTTAGCCAAGAAGATAAAGGTTACGCATCAGCTGTTTGCTTATAGAGGGGGTAAAAAGTGTCCTTTAACTGAAGAAATAAAAAAAAAAATTCAGAAATTTTTAAAAATAATAATTTAATAGTTCCTAATGTTTAGTTGCCATACGTTATTTAACTAAAAAGAGATCATCGATAGTATTCTTTACATGAAAATAATGTATTGCCAAACATCTTTATAAAAATAGGACTCATTCGTTTTTTAGGAGTTATTTTTAAAAGCCAGCTTAACCTTACCTTTCTGAAAATTGCCAAAAATTAAACCCCTTATTTTCCCGCTGAGCAGTTGAGCAGTTTTTCCCTGCTGCCTTGGAAAACTGGTTCTCTCTGTTTCTGTTTTTCGGCCTGTGCAGCCGCCGCGATTTTCCAGCTCGCTGTTCGACAGACCCGTCAGTCGGAGTTTTCAAAAATTGGTGGCAATTGGTGTGGCGGCGACGCACAGCTGTGAGCTTCAGTTTCCGTTTTCCGATTCGACCTGTGATTTTAGCCCCCAAAAAAGGGAAAAACAGTAGAAGGATGCTTATAAAGCCGCTCCTCGTCAAGTGACAATTATATAATGTGAGAAGCAACCCCCTTTCGATCCACATCCATATCCATGAGTCACGTGCTTCGGAGTGTGTGTGTGTGCCAGTGAAATCATGAATGCCAAAGGACATCCTTTTGTTGTTGACCAGACGCGACAATTACCACATCAAAGGCGAAATACCCATACAATATTCCCATTTTTACGCCGTATTGATTTTATTTGTTGTGCATAAAGGCATAAAAGCCGCGCCTGTGTGTTTTTATACGTTCGCCATTCATTTTACGCCTTATGTCTTATGATTTCGCCCCATCCATCCATCCATTTCCCTCAATCAAATAGGAATAACATAAAAATCCTTTGTGCAGCCCCACGGTAAAGTCAACGGTTTCAAAGTCCTTCGTCAAAACGCATACGCCCAGTGTACTCGAAGTCGAAAGTGTCATAAAGTATGCGATTATCCTGTAAACAAAGTGTAAAACGCGCCCAATAAACGCCGAAAAAGAAAGGCAAACAACAAACAACTCCCGGATTTTACGACTTGAGCAATCAATTCCGCTGGTCACCCGGGGATTTGAGGACTCTCTCCAGGACTTGGATTTCCCCCCGGAACAGAACTATAGAATCGGATCTGGGCACGTCGTATAATGATTGCGCAAGTGAGGTGAGTCACCCATCTGGGCAAACATCGATATTCCGAAACGGAACGGGCTAAAATTACTATTGCTCCTCGGGGAAAACTAAAACAAGTACAGCACTCAGCTGCAGCTGACGAGGGAAAACCTAACACAATTTGCACACACATCGAACCGAACAATCAAATACTCCAAAGTCCGCAGGCTAGAATTTAATTAAAATTTATGAAATTTTCAATTACACTGGCAAGTGTAAATAAGTGCGAGTGCGAGCATTACGGCCCAATTCAATTACGAAATAACTGAAAGGCCAGAAAAAACACTCTCGCCGGAAAAACAAACAACCAGACTGAACTGAACTGAACTGGGCCAGAAAACTGAAAACAGAAAACAAGCGGCCAATGCTAGGAGGGAATTGGAGGGATCGCTTTTGCGAGGGGACTGCAGTTCGGCAGGGGTTTGATTGGTTTTGCGGCTTTGTATCCACATCTTTCTCAGACTTTCAGGGCAGATTGACCATCTGCAGTTTGAAATAACGAAGCAGCAAACATGTGTAACCGATGACGACAAAGACAGATACAGATACAGATACAGAGACAGATACAGAGCGAAAGATAAAGACAAAGGGTTATTAGTGGTTCGGGGGCCAGGAAATTGCAATTCCCATAGAGGGATCCGGATACGGATCCATGGTTTGCCAACTGCGTTTTTGCGCTTCACTTCACATCACTCGCCTCTTGGCAATCGTCTATTCGAATTTCCCCTCCCTAAGCTGTTAATATTGATAAATGAATCAGTTGTTGTGCGCCCACTCTGTTGGAGAAAGGATTACCCAGCCCCAAAAAAAAATATATTCGGGCTTCTGTCCGTCTTCAAGTCCCTGAAATGCCAGCAATCATCGCCGGATCGATTTACCATTATGGTAGTACATGGGAGATATTTACATGTAACGGCTGTAAGTGGGTGCTTGCGTGACTGCCGACTAAGGTCACTTCGTAACCTATTCAAACGAGTTACGACCTCGCTTAGCGATAGCGATAACGATAACTATGCTCTTACACGAATGCAGTCGAAAACTGACGCGCAATATGTGTAAACATAAACAAGAAATTGGGGCCACCGCTTCGGGGATCGAAGATCTTGATACTCTGCGGGTCGGTATAGATTGCATCCACACCTCGAATCAAGCCAAATGTTTGAATAAATTGCTAGCCATAACAAAATTTACATTTCGAACAAAGAGAAGTTTTTTAATGATCTATAAACAATGCCTGTAAATGCTGCTCAATGCTAATAATTTGTTATATAAATATTTTAATAATGATTTAAACCGTTTAACATTTAACAAATCAACCTTTTTTTAGAGATAAATGTATTATAAATATGAGGGTGTTTGATTCTAACCTACTGCTTTGAACTATGGGTGTTCAATTCTATCAATCATTCGGCCTATCATTTTATTTTCATCAATAACAAACTTCAGTTTTTCTTTGGTTCCCCAAATACTTCCTATAAGAAAGTGTACCCCCGGATTCGATACGAAAATAAAGCACCAAATTCAAAACAAAAGCGATGCGGGGAACGGAAGCTGTGGTCAGTCAGTCAGTGAGTCTGCTTAGAGTTTTCGTGTTTTCGTTTCTTCGCTGGAATTTCTGAGCTTCGGGGTCCGAGTCAGATTATCCAACAATGTGAACTAGAGTGGACCCCAAAAGCTGAGACTGCGAGGCCTGAGAACTTTATCAGCGGCTTGTGTTTGGGTATACACACTCCACACTCTCTCGATCGGACAACTCCAGAGTTGGCGCCCAAAAAACTGGCGCACATAATGGGACCGAGCGAAACTCGAGCCCAAAACACAAGTCCGAGATGAAGGCGTAGAAGTTTGGGTTTTGGATGGTGGTCGGGGGATGGGGGAACTTAAGGGGACTTGGGGTCTCGAGATCGGCTTACACTTGGAGTTGAGTTGTACATACGGGTTATGTACATCATTGGACTTCAGGTCTTCAGGTCTTCTGGTCGTATAAGAGAGCCCGACTCGAACTTGTTTTTCTTTTGCCGCGATAGATACACAGAATTTCCTGCAGCAGCCGTTTGTTCCTGTATTGACGTCAGATGGAAACACAGCATGCAATTTGCAGTCGACGATCGACGGGGCAATGGCAACAGCAGAGGACAGGTAGTATCACAGAGAGAAAAGTGGGTGTGTAGATATAATATTTTGAGATATTTAGGCATTACCAACATCATTGGACAATGGGCAAAGCTTTATATGCATATGAAAGAATTGCATTTTTCATTATCAATTTAACATTTCTTAATGGTACGCTTGTGGGAAGGCCTTTGGATATGATCATATCAAATTAATGTTGATATTTCGCAGAATACAGTTACTTTTTTTCGGTGCAGGGAAACCAACTCTCAAACATTCCCACACATCACGCTCAGGTGGAGTTGGGCGGGAACGGTATGGTTCGGTTTGGAAAGGTGGTGGCACCACATGCAGGGCTTCGCCAGAAGGTGCACCACTCGAACTCAAACTCATCGCACCTCTCGGCACCACTCACCCACATCCTGGTGACGCTTTGTTCTTGGCTCTTGTTTTTCTGTTTTTGTTGGGTTTTTACACTCCATTGGCAGTGAAGCGTTAAAATTGACCCAGTTGTTGATTTATTTTTACAGCTCTTCGGGTTGGGCAGTGCAACTCGAGTCGTGGCATTTCTCCTGCAATTGGATGGCCCTGCAAAAAATAATTCAAATTGAAAGGGATGAAAAACAATGCGAATTTGCGTTTCCATTTAAATGCATGAAATATCCGAATATTCCAAAAAGTCAGCACGACCTGACTCGAATCGAGTCGGATCGAATCGCTTTAAGGTCTCAGCTCCGTGCACGAATGCATTTCCAATTTGCTGGCTAAAAATTCCGGAGTCGAGATGGCTGAGAGGCAGCAAGTTTGCAGTTGAAGTTGAAAATTGTTTGCATTTTTTCGCCTGCGATAAAAAATAAGTACTGGTTGCTATATGGGAAGCCCTCTTCCCAGATAAAAAAGACGAAAAACTCTGGCAGAGACAACTTGCCTTCCCCCTTTTTTGTCTCGTTGTTACTTCTCTTTTAATAACTATGCGGGCTGCTTTTTGTTTTCTTGGGGCCAAACTTCTGGCCCAGAAAACGGGGGTTGTGGAATGGAACTGCCAGGCGGAAAGAAGCTGAAAGTTTAAGTGCAAAGCCGAGAAATTAAAATATTTCCATACTGCAACTTAAAGTTCTGCATTTGAATAAAATGTAGCGAAATTGGGCGGTCATAAAGTGGTTAACCGATTCAAAGAAACCCACAGGCTGCGGACTGTAGCCCTAAATATTTTTCCCAGGACCAGGAATGGGTGTTCATTATTTCGTAGCGACCATTAAAGTAATTTGCCACACTTGTCGCCGGCCATTAGGCCCCATTAAAGCGCAATCAGAAATCTTGTTTCCCTCCGCTCCTTTTGACCAATACTCGAGTATCAATTTGGCCGGCGAACGAAAAAGTTGCCAAAGTGTTGCCGCTGCACGAACCCTTTTTATTAGTTTTCAGATATCGACAGGCGGCAGCAGGAGGCCCTGCTTTTAATAAGGACATTCAGGCCACAGCGGCAAATAGTTCAATGGACTCGTCAAAACGCTGGGGCCTTCGCCATAAGACGCAGCTTAGCCCGGAAAATCAATATCCCGACAAGGTCCCGAGCTCTTGTGGCCCTGAGCTGGCTGAAAAATGTTTGAGTTTTAAAAAATAAGGGCCCGCTTGGCCTGTACGGTGCACAGAAATTGAATATTTTATTCAAATACCCAGGGTTTATGTTACCAAAGCCAGAGAGGCAAATATCCAAGGACGAAGCGTCTCTAATTTCTCATTTTATATTTAAAGTATTCGGGAGTGCTGCTTGATATACGATTTGCGTTCGAGTACCTCCATGTTCTTTTGATTAAAACCAAATAAATTAAATTAAATGCTTTTTAAGTATTAGATTCACCTATATCTTGTGTTTCAAAGTAAATATATACATAGAGATTTTATATTTCCAATATTTAAACACATATATTTTGTGGTCGAATTTTAACTACCATAGCAATAGATGGAAACTATGTATTTTACCCTGTTATAAAAAATTTATTTTTAAATATTAAAACTTTTTAATTTCTTAAGTTTTAGTATCTTATAATGTTCTTTAAATACCGTCATATTATTAATTTGTGTAACCGTTTATTTGGACCGTGGGTCCCCCGATTTCGCTCTCTGTACTAAACAAACATCTGCATCTGGCCAGGAATGGAGGTCCTCTGGCTCCGGGGCGTTGTTGTTTACTTATTCAATTTGGAGCTGTTTGAACTGCGCTGATATGCCCATTACAAGGTGCCCAGCCAGCTATCGAGTGTACGACGTGCTCCATGGCGTATACGTAATTACGTTTGTCGCTGCCACATCGCAGCTCCACCCCCTCCCCCCCTGCGATTGCCACTTTAAAGCATGGAAATTTATTTATTGCATAATGGGAAAAGTTTTGCACTTCAGTCATGATTTGCCCCCGTCTCCCCGCCGCCCCTGTTCGTCTCCATCTCCATCTTGTGCTATTCAACTCGCAGCATTTCATTTGATGCAGCGACCAAAAGACGTGCGTAAACAGGGTGGCCGGATTCAGGATTCAGGATCCCGGGATCCTTCGGCCAAGTCGGGGGCGTCGAGTGCTAAACTTTTTTGCCCGAATCCCGTTGGCTTTTTTTCTCCGCCGAACTCGAACTCGAAATCAACTTTATGCCGAGGCAACGGCAGCAAAGTTTATGGTCATGTCCGCCTGTTTGGGGCTCGGAAAAGCGGAGGAAAGTCGGGAAATTCGACGGGGGTTGGCCGTTCATTAGCGTTGCCATTACATTTATTTATTTTTCTTCATTCCGTTCTGTTTCGCTGTGCGCAGGATGTCTGATATACTGGCACATCGTCGAGGAGGAGGAGCCCATCCAACTTCCTTTCACAGTGGGTCCGAAAAGTCTCGAG